TATTGTATTCATGTTTGACCTTGGGCATCTCCTCTGTCCTTGCTGTGCCTTTGATTTCTCTTCAGTTACAAACTGCCTAGTTTATCTTGTCAATCACTCTAGTAGTCTGCAGTGCTGTGGAGTAAAAACCATTGAACACAAACCCCATCACTCCCACTTTCAGTGAAGACAGTGCAGTGCCTGTGAACAGCCACTTCCTCTCACCCTTCGCTGCTCTGTTGAAAATAGCTCGTTACGACAGCTCGTTACGACAGCACATTCCTGTAAAACTGCTCAGAGTGGGCCAGGGGGCAAGGGGCTAAATGCCATCCTGCCTCCCTCCCCAGGGAACCTTTACCAAAAGATCCCTTTAGCCACTGTCCCCATAAAATGGGCATGTGGGGATGCAGAACACTGACCAAGAGGTGGGTCCTGCTTGGTCAGTGACTCGGTGTACACTGGGAACAGAAATGACCATGCCTCATTCCAGTCGAGTTCTCAGCATTTTTTCTGGGTCTTGAAAGCTGAGTTTGTTTTGTTATGTCTAAAACACATACCTGATGCCTTCCATGGCTCTAAATGTGCCTTACTCCATACCTGCGTGGTCACAGTACTGGTGCTCAGGGATGTAGGAGAGAGTCATATTCCTTATTACCTTCACTCTCTCTCCAGGGCACTTGGGTGATGTCCATTGCAGGAATGCCTGCTAAAGCACCTCACTCTCAGTCCAGTCTGTCCTTGAACACTTCCAGGGATGAGGCATCCACAGCTTCTCTGGGCAGCCCGTTCCAGTGCCTCACCACCCTGACAGGAAAGAATTTCCTACTAATATCCAGTCTAGATCTGTGCTCTTTTAGTTTAAAACCATTCCCCCTTGTCCTATCACTATCTGCCTGTGTAAAAAGTTGCTCTCCCTCTTTTCTATAAGCCCCCCTTTAAGCACTGAAGTCCACAAGGAGGTCTCCATGGAGCTTTCTCTTGTCCAGGCTGATGGAGTCAATGGAGGGAATCCTGTTTGGCAGGCTGGAGGCTGGATAGTTTCTCATCACGGCAGGTGAACACTATTCAGAAACACAGGGAAGAAAAAGGATGTACATTTTGATGATAAATCCATCACAAACACTCACTTGTTGTGTGACTTTATTTATTGGAAAATACCTGTGGCTTCCCTGGAAGGCAGTTTAAAATGAATGGGTATTTCATTTTTGGTTTAACACCTTAGGTGCCCAGGGAATAAAGGTGGTTTACAAAGGCTGCTCTTGACATATGATTTTAGGACACAAGCACAAAAGAAAATCAAAAGAAAATCTTGCAGAGGTCTATTTATCAATAAAATATTTAATAAACTTATCTGTACAAAATATTAAAAAGGTTATTGAAGAGTATACAAGAATATTTATTTAACAAATATATACTGCTATATAATATATTCAAGAAAATATAGATTGCTGTTTACAGTTCATTTACAATCCCATATGTACAATCTGTTTAAACTTTAGATACATACAAACAATGCATTTACACCATCACATACAGAGCTATCTTTTTTAAAGATATTTCACACCCCCAGACCTGAAAAAGCTGCACAAATACATGGATAGTTCAGAGGCACACACAGGGATACAAGTATTGCTTCAAGAATCATAACTACTAGAAATACAGCTAATGGAAACTTTTTAATTTTTTGATATTTTCCTTTCTAATCAAAGAAAAGAACATATAAATAAAACCATGACTGACCAGCAGAGAGGATTGTTTTGTCAGAGGAACTCCAGAAAGTGTTGACTTGACTCCAGAAACAGAGCACACAGTGAGGGGATACAGAAGGACTGGGCAAACTGGATCAGCATTGCTCCCTGCTCCATCTGAGACAGGGAGCACCAGGAGCAGAGCGGGTCTGTGCTGCACAGACGTGTCCATTTCCTTTGAGCAGCATCTCCACCAGCTTTTCCAGTGGGAGCTGCAGAGCAAGACAGAGCTGGTGATTCCAGATGGGCACAGCCCCTGACTCCTCCTCAGGTTGTGAGAGCTCCATTTGCAAAGGCACTGCACAAATGTAGCTGAAGTGTGCGAGCTCTGGACCTTCAGGAACTCAGACCTTTCTTTAAAAGGTTAATCACTCACAGCAGATGGGATGAATGTAAACAGGATAATCACCCTCCTCCCTGGGCAAGGAGAAGATGAGCTGCTCCCACAAAACACCCCATCCCAGCTGATCACTTCCTACATAGCAACTTAACTCTGGCGCCTTCAAGGACCAAAGCCTGGCCCCTCCCTGTGTGCCCATCCCTTTTCCTGACCTGTGGATGCTGTTTCACGCTGCTGCTGCTGGCTGAGCTCCTGGGAGCCCCTTGGTGCTCAGCAGTTCCTGGCACACAGCTCCCTGGGATGACCAGCTTGGGAGCCACACAGCCCTAAACTTTGCCTCCTGTTTATTCCCCACTGTTCTCCTCCCCTCTGTTCACCAAGGCAGGATGGAGGAAATGAATGAAACACCGCAGGGAATGCTACCATCTCCCAAAAAACTGGGACCAAGGCCAATGCCACAGCTCCCAGGGAGGCCAGGCTTGGCCCAGCCTCTGGGTCTCATTCCTCTGAGTACAGAGACCAGGGTGGCACCAGCACAGGTTGATACTGTGGCAAAGAGAAGGGGAGAGGAGACCCAAATCCTCCCACCCTCCATCAGAAAGGCACTTGAGTGTGTGACCATTGTTTGCAGGTCCCCTCCTCCCACCAGCCAGGCCTGTCCCCTCTCTGTCCCCAAAGGCACAGACTGCACCAAGTCCTCCTGCTGCTGAGCTCAGCCTTCCTCACCCTCCTGCCCCACCAAACACCACAGCAAGTCTCCACACTCCCCATCCACCCAAAGCATGAGCACAAGTATCCAAGCAGAAAAATGAGCTCACCAAATGTATGACTGAACTAGTAAGTGGTGATGACAGAAAAATGGAGAGCAAAACCTGCTGAAAAACCATTGAAAATGTGTGGAGTTCTGGTTCCCTACATGGAATGGATGGATGGGAATGGATCAGGCTTTGGTTTAAGATATTTCAATACCAGTTCCATGCAAATGCTCTGCTGCCCAAGCTTCCTACCCTAGTCCATCCACTGAGCAAGAGTGAAACATGGTGCATCCATCACCCTGCCAGTGCTCCTTCCCACCACCACCTGTATCAGGCTCCTCTCCAACATGGAAAATTCAGGGGCTGTTTGAGTACTGCAGCCAGTAAAAGCTAAAAGCAGGCACGGGGCCATTTGTGCCTTGAGGTGCAAAGATGCAAAACATCCTTTAAGATGTAGGGTGGGCTCCTTGGTCAGTGGGTTACACCAGCATGAATTCCAAATTTTTGTCATTTTCTGAAGGTCCAGATCATTGGTTGGTAGGACATAAGTGATTTTCAGAGACATCTTTGCACCTCTATGTGCCTCACAACACATTGTGCTAGGAACAAAGAGCTCAGAAGGACTGAATGCAGCTGGTTTTACCTTGGAAGACATAAACCAGCTTATGACAAAATTGAAGGTGTCACACACACTGGCCTGGTGGAACATTTCACTCTTTTAGCAGCCATTAACTCAAAGATAGGAAAGACAGAAAAACTCTGTCCCTTCCACACAAATTCACAGGCTCCCGACCATCAGCAACACCCCACCCAGAGAACAGGTACTCCCCAACTCCTTTCCTCACTGTGTTTCATGCAGGACACACTCCCACTGCTACACTCTGCTCCTGCCACCCTGCTTCTCCACTCTGACCCCACATAAAGGGATCCCTGATGCCAAGGGAGCTGCTCTGAGGCCAGTGGAACACACGTGATCTGCTGGTCATGAGGACCTAAAAAAAGAGTCACACTGCTCTCAAAGACCTTGTTTTTTCCCACACAGGTTTTCCCATCCATCCACCTACCCAGAGTATGATGTGAAGAGCAAAAAACTCAGCCCACAACTCCAGCTGCTCCCAGGACAGGGGCACAGGACGTGATGTGATGGAACTGCCCAGCCAAGGTCCATGAGACAGCCCTTGGTTCTGCTCATCTGTCACACACCATGGTGCACAGCCCCATTTCAGGGGCAGCCTCTGTGCAATACCCAGAGCTGCCATTGCCCCACTGAGGCTTTTTTCTCCCTGGCACAGGGCCCTGCTGCCCCAGCACAGACAAAAGAGAAGGCACTTGGATTTCATGGCGCTTCCCACCAGTTTTAGTCCAACACACGAATGAGCTGGGCTGGTATTTATGATGTATCTGCCACATTAACATGGGTCCTGTGGGTTTTGATGTAACTATAAACACTGCTAATGACACAATCACGACAAGCAGAAGCTCAGGGCAAAACTCCTGTTAAGGCTGGAGAGCAAAGCCATGGCAGCCCCTCAGCGTCCAAGGCTCCATTTGCCCAGGCACAGCCCTTGGGACCCGCCTTCCCAGGGCTGCCAAGGGATGCCCCAGCCTGTCTTGTCTCCTCCCTGCCAACAGCAGGGTGGGTGTGTGTGTGTGTCTGCTGCTCCGTGGGGCCAGCACAGGTGACTGTCCCCACATGCCACTTTTGTGCCTGTGGAATAAGGGCTTAAACCTGTGAAAGGAGCTGTTTGTTTTGCAAGAGCAGTGTGATGGATAAACCACTGCCCAGTGAGAGCTGCACAGCCAAGGGCTGGGTTAAAACCCTGGGGTGCAAAGGCACTCAGGAGTCGCTGGCACTCAAACTTGAGCAGAAGGCTCAAGGCTTGGGGTTTGCTTTTAGTCAGAACTGGTGCCTTTGCAGCCTTTTCCTCCTGGGTATGCCAACCACCAGCCAACAGGCAAAGAGGATGTGGCTCCATCTGCCAGTGCCACTGGGATCAATGCAGCTGTGCCAGGATGAAGCTACATCGAGCCCTTTTCCATATGAATCCTTCTCTCTGCCAGAGGATCCTGTCATTTGATTTGAAAAAAGAATAAAAGGGGGGGGGGGGGGAAGGGGGGGGCAACACATAGTTAGAAAAACCCTTAAAAAGCCCTTAAAAAGGGCAATAATTCTTTTAAAAAAATAAAATCTGTGATTCTTGGGAAATATTTCTAGACCAGAAGCAGCCCTGGTGACCAGGGTTAAACAAGGAATAAAGCAATTTTGCTTCTGACTGTTCCTGAAGGCAATGGCTTGAGCACAAGCTCGAAGAACCCCCAGATAAGGCACATAGACCTGTCACTCCCTGTCCCAACTGGGCAAGTTTCCCCAAATCCCAGCCCCAGTGCTTCTAAGTCAAATTAGATCACTCTGCAAGTTTCCCTACTCCTGTGCAATTACATTCCCATGTCAGAGAGGAGGGAGCCAGTTAGGCATGGATAGAGTCCTTTTCAAATGCTCAATATTTCTAGTTTCAGTGTAATTATATCCTGCAGATAAAAATGGTGCTCAAGGTCAAACAATTCCTCCAGTAGAATATGCACTGCATGGAAACTGTTGGGGTTTTTTTTAACTCGAAAGGTTGTATAAATACTGCAGATTGAGAACCTATAATTATCCATTAAAATCACTCTGAGATTGCTGAATTAATATTTGTCCATGTTCAACCTCTAGTCTCATATTTATAAAGTTTACATGTGCCCAAAAATCAGCTCAGGCAAGAAGCAACTGATCAGAAATACATTTTTTCTGGGCCTTTCCTTTGGCATTAGAGCCAGAGATTTTCTTTGGAGAAGCAGCTCCAAGGATGGGGGCTGGGCTGGGCCACTGCTATCCTGCAGCCAGTGCCCCACCAACCTCTCTCCAAAGGCAGGATTCACTGCTCCATGCCCTCTACAGACACATCCCTGTGTTGCCCCAGCAGTGTAGGGCTGCAACAACTCAGCTGAGAGAACCTCCTTGCCTGGGAAAGGCTTTCACACCCACCACTTCCACTTAGAATCATTTAATCATTAAGGTTGGAAAAGATCATGTCCTACCATCAACCCCACATCACCACCATATTCACCATTCAACTGTCTCTCAACTGCCATATCCACACAGTCTCTGAACACTTCCAGAGGGATGGTGACTACACTTCCCTGGGCAGAGCTTTATAATACTTTCTGTGACTTTTTTCCCCAAATATTTAACCTAAACCTCTACACATTTGCAATACCTCTGATGGTTGTTGCCCCAGACCAGTCCCACTGTTTGGTGCAATCTCCAAATCTGCCTGGGGATGGAGAGGCAGCCCTTGCAGTCATCATGCAGGGATTCACGACGGGGACAGTGGTGGCTTTTGCTCTGGAAATATTCCTCTGGGAGCAACGAGCAACGTCACAGCCAAGCCCTGCAGCCGATCCTCTCGCTTGGGAGGAACAGCAGTTCCCCACCAAAGCCCCCAGATCCACTCTCCTCCAGCCCTGCCCTGCTCATACACATCACCTAGAGCAGCCCTAGGCAGGGAGCTGCCTCCCCTGACTCCTTAGAGAAGCAGGAAGAGGATCCAGCTCCATCCTTTATCCTCCAGAGGCTGTTTGCCCAGGGAAGGAACAGAAGGCACTTGGCACAGGCCCCGGCACTGCTGGGCTCCTCTCGGGGGGATGAAGTTTGCTCCCCGACCAAGCACTCATGTTCAAGGGTGCCCACAGCCAGGAGAGCCAAGTTGGGTTCCCAGTGGGTGAAACCATGGACAGCATCACTGCCAGCAGCGGCCTCTGGGCTCCCCCAAATCTTCCCCTCTCATTTATCCTAGTGATCCAGGCCACGGAACTGCAGCAACTGAGCCACTGCTTTTGTCCCAGCACCAGCAGAGCCATCATGGGGTTCAGGACAAAAGCCCCAGCAGTGGGCACTGCCCCAGAATAGGGGCTGGGGTGAAGAGTTGCAAGAGCCAACCTATTACCCTCCTCTCCATCAGCCACCTCCAGACATGAGGTGGGTGACATCTGCCTGCTCCCTGCAACCCTGGCTGAAACAAACCCACAAAAATGGGAGTCACTGGCATTACCTCCCCTTGGACACAGTACCACAGGAGCAGGTCTCAGGACACCTTTTGGTGAAGGCTCACAAGAGCCACCAGCAGCTGCCAGGAGCTATATATGTATCTTGCTTGGATTTGAACTGCCCATGAACCTTTACCACAAATATTTGGAGGAAGGGGAGGGGGTAAAAGAAACAAAACCATTTTAAAAATTGTCTCAGCAGCGAGAAAAGCTATCAAACAACCAAGGCAATTTAAAAATTAGGTACTTCCAAAGCTTGGTAACTTTATAACTGATGTAGAATCTGGCAGCTCGAGCTCTGCTGCACCAGCCTCCTTCCCCAAGCAGCTGTGCTGAAGCCAAAGGGCAGAGGAAATCCACAAACCCCCGTGCTGACCCCTCCTCACCCACTCAGGAACCTCAGCCTCCCCAAATGCTGACAGGGAGAAAAGCCACGGCATGGACCTGATCCTTCCTCCCCTCCCCACCCCACCTCCATGGCTGAGCATCCCCCTGGAGACAGGTACATCATTAGCATATATTTATATTCATGCTGAGGCAGGAAGATTGGGTTTTCCTCTTGGATGCACGGATGTAAAGCCAGAGGAGCTCTGCAGGTGTCAGACATGCAGGTACATGACACTTTTGGGCACCACACTCGCTCCTCTGAGCTACCACTTGGCCCAGCCTGAGGATGCAGAGCAGGCTCTGTGGGCACGGATGGAGGGAGGCTGGGAGTGTTATCCCAGTGGATCTGTCACTGTTTCCAATGGACACAGTTACTTCCTACTGATGCACTTGGGGGGAAGGGGCTGTTGAACCTCACCAAGTCTTTCCTGATCTTTGAAATTATTTGGCTCTCAGTAGAGATCTTTGAGGCAACCCCCTCTCTGCCCTGGTCTAGCTCAGCCCTCCCAGCAGAAGACCTCTGTCATGGAGGACAACTGGATTTATGAAGGAAAAACCCCATGTTTTCCAGCAGGGACTTTTCTCCTCCAAAGGCAAACTACCATCGCTAATAAGCACTGATGCTTACACACTAACACCCTGGCCATGAGAAAAAAACAAGCCATCAAACACCAAATCTGGGCAAATGCATCTCTGGTCTAAGCCAAGCCACCCAGGAAGCCAAAGTTTGGTACCAAAACCCACTGAGGTGCAGCAGAAAAGCTTCCCAGCATCCAAAGCACACCCTGGCATGGATGAAGAGCTTCTCTGGTTTAAAGGTGTAATTTATTAACTCAGCTCCTGAGTTACTAAAACCCTGCAGTCCTTTCAGCAAACGTCAAAGCACCCCACTTCATACAGCAGTCCCTGAGGGCAGCACTCAGCCCTCTGCATGGGAAAAGTCTGTTCCTGGAGGATCCAGCTCCTTTAATGGAGCAGGGAGCACTCCAGGGAGGGACACAGCTCCCTGGGAAATCGATGCCAAAGGAAGATAGGGTGGAGCTAAGTGCGTTTATAGAAATTATTTGGAAAGAGAAGAACCCAAGCAAAATGGCTCTTCCCTAGGGAACTTGGGATCTTTGTTTCATGTTCAGGATGACTGTGTGACTTGTGGGCCTGATGCCGGGTTTCCAGTATGCCTTGGAAATGCAGTTTGTGCAGGAAAGTGAGGGGACTCACCAGCCAGTACCTCCTGCAGGACACAGACAACAAAACCAGCTCTTCTGACCATGTGGAGTGGAGGCATCTCCAGCTAACACCTCCCAGGGCCATCCCATCTTTGTAAGAGCACAACCTCTGCTTCATACCTGACTCTTTTAGCCTCTGGTTCTCCTTCATTCCTGTCTCTGCCAGCAGATTCACAAACCTCTCCCCACTGCAAACAGGCCTGGACCAAGTGATTACAACCCACACCAGCCACAGGTTCTCCACCCCCTGCCTTTCCCCAGGGATCTCTTCTTTTTCCATCAGGAAACCCAGGGCAGCAATTTGAAGACTGCCAGAAAAACTCCTTTAACTCAAAGAAAAGAGCATTCCTACCTCACCTCCATCCCACTGCCACAGCCAGAGGATGATGCTGACCCAATCCCTCTGCTGCAGACACCACTCCACCTCCCCCCCACGCCAGGTCATGATTCCAACCAAGACAATTTTGGCTAGACATTTTCCAAAACCTTTGGGAAAGAAGTTGTCAGCTCCACTTAGGCAAACCAAGTGAATCAGGCAGAGCTCAGAGGCTGAGGAGACATTCCCTGTGGGCTCTGCCAGCCTGTATGTCCCCCTTTTCCAGGAGGGTCCCAGCAAGGCACAGAGATGGTGGCAGCCTCAGTCTCAGAGGGGCATCCCCCATCCCTCCTGGGGTCATGGCCAGGGCGGCCCAGGGAAGACAGGGGACACCTGCTCTGAGCTTGGCTTTTGTAAAGGCACACACCACAATGTGTATGTGTGTATATATCTATATAGAGAGAGAGATATTTTATATATATATATATTTATATTATATATATATATATATAAAATGGGCAGGGCTGCTGAGCAAGGCCAAGAGGGATAGGGAGAGCTGCAGAAATTGCTACCTGCAGCCACACGTCTCCACGACCATGTCCTCGTACTGTTTGTAAACCACATTGTTCCCAGAGTCTATATAGAGGATGCTGATGGGGCTGAGCTTGGAGGGCACGCAGCAGCTCGGGGGGGTGGACTCCGGGTCCATGGAGTTCATCAGGGTCTGGATAATGGCATGGTTGGTGGGCTCCAGGTGGGAGCGCAGCGGGAAGTCGCAGACCCCCTCACAGTGATAGGCCTCGTAATCCAGGGGGGCGATTATCCAGTCATCCCAGCCCAGCTCCTTGAAGTTCACGTGCAGGGGCTTCCTGCTGCAGCGAGTCTTCGCCTTCTTCCCGTGGCCCCTGCCCCCAGACCGGGCAGCAATGGTGGTCCTCCTCTTCCTGCGCTTCAGGAACGCCTCCTGGCCGGGATCGGGGGGCTCCAGGAACGGGGGGCTGCCCAGGGCCTTGATCTTGTCCCGGATCTCCTTGAAGAGGTTCTCCTTCCTCTGGGTGCGGGAGAAGGCCACGAGCAGGGCTCGCTCGTGGGGCTGCGGCCGGGGTTTGCCGAAGCCCAGCTGCCGGGGGGGCAGGAGCTGCCCCGAGCCATCCGAGGCGATCCTCAGCACGAAGCACAGCAGCTGTCCCGACAGCGAGCTCTCCCTCCGATCTCGCAAGGCCTCCCGGACATCAAACACCTCCCATCTGGAGGAGCCCGTGTCCAAAACGTCCGCAGCCCTGGAGTCCAGCAGCCGGGGCTCCTCGCCCTCCCGGCTGGGGCAGGTGCCGAGGAGGAGGTGGTGGAAGGAGCCTTCGGGGGACAGCGCCAAGCTCCGGTTTTCAGGGAGGGAGCGCAGGATCCGCAGCTCGGCAGCCGTCACCTCCTCTGCCTCAGGCAGGCTGGAGATGTCAAAGAGGTATCGCTGCTCCGAGGCGGATGGGGAGGCATCTGGAAGAGATAACACAGAAGGAAAAAAAAAAAAAAGAAAAAAAAAATTTAAATATCAGCAAGCCAAAGCCAAGCTCTCATTAGGAAGGTGAAAGGGATGCAAAGGTAATGGGGGAGATCTCGCTGCGCATCCCAGCGGGACACAGCCTGGGTGTCCTGCATCCAGGAGCATTACTCTGGCTGGGGACACCAAAAACAAATGGGGAGGAGAAGGTAGAGAGGGAGGGAGGAATCAATTCAAACAAGTGGCTTTTCATCAGCACTCTTTTCCACATTCTGAGGAGGCTTCTTTGCTTCCTCCCAGGTGTTCCAGTGGCCCCAGATGCACTATTCTGTTTTGGCATGGAAGCCACACCTGAACCTGTGCAGCACGTTACCATCCCCAGTCAGCAGTTTGTCACCTACTTCTGCCTCAAGTCTCACACACATACACGGGCTGTTAAAAATTCTGCTTTCCCCTCGCAGATAGGCACAGTCACACATGTCTGATAGAGGCACCCACAGCGACTGAAAGTGAGCCCAGCCTCAGTTTGGCACTACTTTTAGTGGATCCAAAGACGTGACACAGACTTGTGCCGTTTCTGGCACTGAATAAATATACTCAATGTGAATTAAAAAAAGAAACACCAAAGGAGGTGGAGCTGGGAAGAAGAGCTGAATTGAGTTCTGGGAGGGTTGGTTTTTTGTTTTCTCCCTCGTTAACGAGAAACCTGACCTGGACATGCTGCAAACATCTCTGCTGTGCCCGGAGCGCCCCGACCCGCTGCCGGCAGAGCCGTGCCCGACACCCCCGCCCCGCACCGCCCGCCCCCGCCGGCAGCGCCGCTGGGTGCAGCCTGCACCGCCCGCCGCGGGGGAAACTTCTCCCTGTCATTTGCTGCTGCTGCTGCTGCTATTATTACCATGAATAGCGGTATTATTATTCATTATGGTTATTAAAATTACTATTTGAAAAGCAGATCTAAAATTCCTATGAGAAGCAGATAAGAGCAGATAAGGAGAACCCTTTGAAGAGTTCATCTGGTTTCGTTTTGCGCCGAAACTTCCCAGGACCTGTGCTCAGTTTTCGCTCAGCTCTCTAAAGCCGAGCACTGCCCACCCTCCCACCGGAGCATCCTCCTCCCGGTCCCGTCTCGCTCCCCCGACGTTTCCCCATCAGCTTGCAGTAAACCTCCTCCCGCAAAAGGTGCCGGCAGGATACGACCCCTTCTGGGTGTGGGAATGGGGCTAGGGGGGTTCTCCCACCAAAAGGCAGCCGGCGACAGGGACGGGGTGCGGCTGACGCTGCTTTTCAGTTTGCGTTTTCATTTTATTCGATCGGGAATGTGGGTTTTTTTCCCCGCAGCCAAGCGAACTTGGCCGGCAGGGTGCGAAGTACACATATATACATGTATTTGTTAAAATTATATCGTTAGGTGCGTATATACATTTGTTATTGGTATTGTTATTGGTATTGGTATTGGTATTGGTAGATTCGCGGGTATGAAGAGGGCAGAAGAGGGCAGAAGAGGGAGAAGGGCACCGCGATGCCGAGCTCAGCCGGCGGCGTTAGCGGGAGTCGCCCCGGAGCGCCGCGGCCGCCCGGGGCCGAGCACCCCCCGGGACACCGTGGCTGCGCTCCCTCTCTGGCCCGGCCCGGCCCGGCTCGTCGCGGTGCCCCGTGGAGTTTTCGGGCTGCAAAGGCTCTGGCAGGACGGGGGATGCCGCGCGGAGCAGCTGCTGTCAAAGCGCGCCGCACCCCCGGGCCCGCATCAGGCGGGGGAGGTCCCGAGAGCCCCCGCACCGCCGCGCATCCCGTCCTGGCCGGCTGCACCTCGCTGCCCGTCCCGAACCGCATCCCCAGCACCAAGTGCCGTCCTTGATACCGACTGCGTGTGCAGCCCCATCGCCACGCAGACCCCCGCTCTGCGCCACGCTCATCTCCGTCGGCAAAGCCCTTCACCAGTGCCAGGCACAAACCTTTTGCTGTCCCCATCGTCAGCCTTCCTAACCGTATGCTCACTCGCAACCCCACTCCCAGCCCTGTCCTAGCCCCCACTCCCACGCTCAGATTCGCGCACGGCTTCATTCCCGTAAAACAATCGGGATACGCAGCCCCTATCCCGTGAAGCTCCATCCCCGACAACCGCCTCGTGCAGAAACCAACGCACAGTCCTATCCCAGGCACAGCCCCGTGCTCGGACCAGCATGCGAACATCCTCTCCGTGTGCCATCACATCCCCAGACTGACGCTCAAAGTGATGCACAACCCCGCGCATCCATCCCCACATCCACACAGGAGCCCGATCCCCACAGCCATGCACAACACCGTCTCCATCCCCAAGCCGCATCCTCATCCCCAAGCCCATTCCGAAGCCCAAGCACCGACTTCTCTTCCGCCCGACGGCGGAGTCGCGGCGGGGCGGCCGCTCCGCGCTGCGCTGCCCGGCGCGGCTCACCCGCACTCACCGCTGCGCGCCCGCTCCGCGAAGCCGGTCACGGTGTCGGCGCGGCGGCCGGGGGCGCGCCGGGCGGCCAGCCGCTGGTACAGGGCCACCATGTAATGATGCGGCACCACCGTGCCGTTGCGGAGAGCTCCGTCCCTCCGCGGCGGGGAGGAGAAGGGGGAGGCGGCGGCGGCGGAGGAGGAGGAGGCGGAGGAAGGCGCGGCTGCCGAGGGTCGCTGGGGAGCGGCCGCCGACGGGCCGCGCACGGCGGCGGCCTCCAGCCCGCGGCGAAGGCGGCAGGCGCCCAGCAGGCAGAGGCAGAGGGCGGCGGCGGCGGCGCGGAGGCGCATGGCGGCGGCCCGGGGCTCGGCGCGGAGCTGCTGCCGCCGCCGCTCCCCGCCCGCTTTTGAACATCGTCTTCGCCCGCCGCCGCCGCCGCCGCCGCCGCCGCCGCGGCCGCGGCCGCCCGCGCCCGGGGGCGCCCCCTGCCGGCCGCTCGCCCCGCCCCGCCCGAGCGCCGCCCGCGCCCCGCGCCCGCCCCGCCCGCCCCGGCAGGTGAGAGACCCCCGGACCCCCTTTGGGCCTTGCCCCTCCTCCTCCGCCAGGTGAGAGACCCCCGGACCCCCTTTGGGCCTTGCCCCTCCTCCTCCGCCGGGTGAGAGACTCCCGGACCCCCCTCAGGCTCCGCCCGCCCGCCCCGGCAGGTGAGAGACCCCCGGACCCCCCTCGGGCTCCGCCCGCCCGTCCTGGCAGGTGAGAGACCCCCGGACCCTCCATCGGATCCCGCCCCGAGTTCCCCGGCAGGTGTCAGATCCCTCAGGGCTCCGGGCCCACACCCGGTGGGGCACCCGCACCCCTCCTTTGGCGGGGGAGCTGCGTCCCACAGCCCCGTGCCAAGGCGTCACCCCAGCCTGACTGCGGGGTGGAATGGGATTGTGTTTGACTTTGGAAGGCGACCCCAGTTCGGGATGGTGGGAGGTTGGGGGGCCACCACCACCTCTGTTTGCAGGGATGGTATTTCGGAGCGGGGAATCCCCCCTACCGAAGAGTGGACCGGGAAACTTCACCCCATATTGTAGCGGGTCACTCACCACCCCATCCTGGGGTGGGGGTCCCGGTCCTACACTGGAGATGGGGCTGTCCTGGCTCCGTTTCGAACGGGGGAACCGCCACCCCATGTCTCGGGCAGACCCCTTTATCCCGACACTGGCTCGCCGGGTGATGCCGGCGGCGGGGCCGGGCCGGGGGAGCCGGAGCGTCCCGCTATGGAGCGGCCCGGGGGCCCAGGCTCCCCCCGCACTGCTCCGAGATGCCCCGGGCTGCCCCGAGCCTCCATCGGCCCCGGTAATTCCGCCTCGGGAGTCCGACACCGGAGCAAAACAAAGACCCAGCCGGGCTGCGGGCTGATGTTTTCCCTCGCGCGGAGGGTTTCCTTGGTAAAATTCAGATGTTTCCTTGGGTCTCGATTAAAATAACAAAGTGGGGTATTTACTAGGATGTTATTTCAAGTCTCTTAAGTCCCTGGTTATGTCTGTTGCGATTTCTCCGCAAATACAAAAACAAGCGCTGCGATGATTTATTTGAAGGAATGTAGGTGTTTCGCCAAAACAAACACCACTTTTTTTTTTTTTTTCTTCTCCCCCCGAAACAATCACTTCTCACGAGCATTTGTCACTGCAGCCTCTTGGATTTCTTTCTGCTGTAATTTTACAGGTGTCTCGTCACAGTATCGCCAGCGGGTTTCTATTGCCAACCAGCGGCTTTGCTCGGTATGTACACACACACTGTGCAGGGACGTGGACGGCACTCTCAGGACACCATCCCAAGAAAACCCCATCCCACCAAATTCCTGTCCCGTGAAGCACTGGATGGCCAGGCCTGAAGGCATTTGCACACCTTGCACAGCACTTCCAGAGTTTGCACAGCTTTTGCACATCCTTTGCATGGGGCTTGCGCAGCCTGAACACGGAGTTGGCTTGGCTTGCGTGGCATTTGCACACTCAGCGTGTTACACAGGGCCTTGCACACACCACCCCAGCAGTCACTGACCCCCGGGAGCCCAACCCAGCTGGGGCAGGAGGCAGAGGAAGGGCTCGCAGAGGAAGGATTCATTAACTATTATTCTTCTGTCAGTCCCTTATTAAATCCAGCCTGATGTTATTCAGATACTAAAGGTCATTTTAAAAACCATCTGACAGGACTTCCCAGACCTGAGGCCTCACTCCCCCCTGGCCAGGGTGCTGAGACTCCACTCGGGAGCCCTCCCAGAAGCAGAACATGGCAGCAGGGCTCAGTGCTCAGGGCATCTCTTCCCAAAGATGGGAAGGCTGAAAAGCACTGTCTGTTCCTGTCCCACTTAATCCCACCTCAAAGTGCAGCCCCAGGCTCCAAACTGTGCTCCTGATGCTCCCACTGCAGCCGATGGCAGCACTCAGTGCTCCCAAGGAAGGTGAGCAAAAGGATGGAAGGATGATGGGCTGGGAAGGACTGTTGAATGGGCAGACAAGTTATCCATAAACCTCTGGGCTTCTTGCAATGGTTTCTGGAGCATCCTGCCTGGAACCGTTTCACACAGTCAGTTTTATGTAAAACAGTGAAAGGTAGAAAAATAGTGAGTGTGGGCCTAGCACCAAGCCCCCAAGTCTGTACATCCTCCTGCCGGTTGGGGTGCATGTACCTGCCACACATGTGGAGCCCCAGGCTTCACCAAATCCCCTGGCACTGGAACTGTCACTGTCACTGCATTTTTGATGTGTATGTTTCAAAAATTAAAGTTACATTGATGCAACAGACAGCTGTGCCTCCTATTTGTTCTCCCCCCACAACTTTTATTGCCCAAAGTCCTCTTCTCAGCCCCCAGGGGGGGCACCAGGGCCAAATCCCTGCCTGCAGTGAGCTGGCAGAGCTGAATAATGGGTTCCTGTGCATCAATTTGCACCACACCATCCTTGTCCCTCTGTGCAGCTGTCCCCATGACAGAGCCTTGTGCTGCTGGGTGACAAGAGGCAGATCCCTGTGCTCCTTGTCTGTATGGAGACCCAGACACAGGCACACACACCCCTACACAACCCCAGTGACATGGACACACGTCTGTGAGCCCCAGAAGGCACATGAACACACACACACACACACACGCTTACACACACTCACACACACACACACACACACACACACACACAGGTACCCCAACCCAAGCAGCAAATCCTGCCAGCTGAGCTGGAGGGTAGATGTGAAATCCCACAGCTCATCCTCCCAACCACCCAGCATCTATCGAGACACACAAGCACTGACTTTCCCATCTGTTCTCCATTGCAGCCTCATTTAAACCCTTCTGGGCTTTCTTGAATTTCCATCAGCCCAGCCCAGCCCAGCTGCAGGACCTTCCCAAGCCTCCTGAGCCCTGCACAGCAGCACAGCAGCTCCTGCCCCCAGTCCTTCCTTGTGCTGGGGATGGGCTCACTCCTCTCCCACTGCAAAACTTTTTGTGCATAATTTCACCCTGGCAAAAAGCCATCTTCTACCAGCCCCCTTCCAAACCCAAATTAGCACGCTGCTGCAGCAGCAGAAATTGGAGAGGAAAGGCTGCAGTTTTATTTTACAACTCAATTAGCAAGTTTATACAGAAAAAAACACCCACATAACTGAGGGAGATTTTATGTCCATTCAGCTTCACCAGTAAATAGACTAGTTCCTCCTGAGGGCACTCCCCACTGCTGTGGGCACAGCGATGTGCTCCTGCCCATGGGGCCCCTCAACCAACATGGTGATCCTGGCTCCAGCCCTGCTCACTTGCTCCATCTCTCTTTGCTCTTACACTTCAAAATCCTCTGGGTGTCTATCATGGACTGAAAAACATGGTTTTGAGACTGTCCTGACACCCTGTTCCCCAAGTATTAAATCAAAGTGTATCTAAACCTGAGATGAAGATAAAGGGCCACATTTGCCTCTAATTATTCCCTAAGAACCAGTCCCAAGTAACATGAAGCCAATGGTGTATGCCCAGGAGGGATCCTGACTCCTGAAACAGCTTGCACCATGTCCCACTACAGTCTCTCCCTTCCTTGACCAATAGACCCTTCTGGTCAGGTTTCTGGAAAGAAAGGGGACAGTCTTCTCACTAAGCCAGTTTTCTTACTGGGAACACTTTTTTGGATGGTGACTGCTTCAGGGTCAGGAAGGAATAGTTCCTGCCTGGCTGATACTTGGGCTTGTCCTTTCTGTTGCAGTCCCCATTCCTGAGCTCCCTATTTTTGTGCCCAGCACTGCCCTACTTGCCCTTCTGCATTCTCCATGGCAGCTGGGGACCTTTGTGTGTGGAGCACTGAATAATTTCCATGCTCAGGGGTTGAGTCCTGGTCATGGTGAATCACCCTACCCAGGCTATCTCCTCTTGTACAGCTGTGGGCAAGGTCCCAGCCTGGCAAAAGGGCTGCCCTACTGATCCTCTTCAGCACAGGAATAAATTTGATTTAATTAGAACCCCACCAGGCATGGAAGATCACTTCTCAAAGTAGAAAACTGAGGCAGAAGGGAAATCTTCAAGGAATAACCATGTGCCTCATGTCTCAGCAACATTCCCAGAGCTCTGCACCTCCACCTCACCTTCCCTGTCATCAGCCCTTTCTGATGGAATAGAAATAAGCTGCAGTGACAAACCCTCTCCACACTTCAAAACTTGAGGTGTTTGCAGCTGTTTCTGTTAGCTGAGCCAGTGGGGCTCCACCAGATTTTCAAGTCTTGAGCAAGTTCAATGATCAGACTATTGATGCCCGTGGCTATTTGGAAAAGTGTGTTTCCATGTAGTGACCACACAAGAAGCCTCTTGGGGCTTCGCTTAACAAATGTCTTCTAGTGAGATGGCTACAAGTGACAGCAGGGCCAGCTCAGCAAGTAGCTAAGCAACAGCATCATTTTCTTTCCAAATCTTCCAGCAACTCCTTCCAAAACTTACTTAAACTGAGGCCAAGATGAATTCTTTCTGATTGTCTGCTCAGGGATAGCCAAGGAAGATAAGACAAATCAAGGTACAAACTCCATGCATGAAACATCAGATGTATTCAAGGACCCCGTAGGCTGCTTTGCTTCAGGCCCAGAGACCTGACGTCAGCTCAGTCTGGCTGCCTAAAGCTCTGCTTGTCTCCCATCACTTTCTATTTGAGCAATTTGAGCACTGTGCTCTAGCTAGGGGACAGGAAATGCTTTGCGGAGAGTTCGATCCTTCTGGAAACAAAAAAGCTTCTTGAAAAAGGCTTTCCAATATCCCCTCTGGGAAAATTGTCCTATTCAGCATCTGGTCGACAGGGTCTGGCATAAGCCACCTGAAAACAGTGAGTCAAAACACAACTGAGCA